TTGGAAGGCTATTTATGGCATTCTCCCAAAGTTCCTCAGATTTGTAAGGTATGATGCTTGTTCTGGAAACTCCATTCTTTTTTGGGAAGATATTTGGGTGAGCACTCAACCCCTAAAAGACCGCTTTCCTTCTCTCTATTCCATCTCCCTCTTTAAAAAGAAACCAATTTCATGGTTTCTTCCCCCCCGGTTTGCCCTTTGGATTTAAACTGGAATTTTGGGTTTCGAAGAGGGTTAAGGGATGAAGAACTTCTTTGTGTTTCAGAGCTCTTGTTGCTTCTAGACTCAGTGTGCTTGGACCCCCCTAACCTGGATAAAAGGGTTTGGTCTCTAACCTCGGTTGGCTCCTTCACTTGTGCTTCTTTCTTTAAGGCCCTCTGCTCCAATCCCTCCTCTTAGGTGTTCCCTGTTAAAGAGGTCAAGGCCAATTCCTCCTAAAATAGCAGTGTTTTGTTGGGTACTTGGGTAAGATCAATACGGTGGAAAACTTGCAAAAGAAGAAACCTTACTTGTGTTTGTCCCCAAATTGGTGCTTCTTGTGTAAAGTGAAGGATGAGGACTGTAACCATTTACTGATGTCGTGCTCTTTTGCTGCCAATATTTGGAACTGGGTTGTTGCACTATTTGGGTGCAGGTGGAACCCCCGAAGTAAAGCTGCTGTTCATTCCGGCTGCCTTTGGGAGATTGACAAAAAGAGGGAAGCTAATGTGGAAATGTATCAGAGCCGCTACCTTGTGGACTTTATGGGAGGAGAGAAATGCTAGAATATTTCAAGAAAAGGAAAGAAGTCTTGCTGAAATTAAGGAATGCATAATGACAAGGACAGTCTCGTGGCTAAAATCTTCACACTTGTTGGCAGATTACTCCTTTGGCGACTTAAGGAGAAACTGGGCAGTAGTGGCTTCTACAGTCTCCACCAAGAACAAATTACAAGTTGAATGGAAACCCCCACCAAATGGAGTGGTAAAATTGAACTTTGATGATAGCTGCCAAGGTAACCCAGGGCCATCTGGAATAGGAGGGATTCTGAGAGACAAAGATAGCAACATGTTGTCTTTTGTTTTCAGGACCAGTGGGTGTTGGTGATTCTGTAAGGGCAGAGATACTAGCAGCGGTGCAAGGTATACAGATGGCCAGTCAACTTGGAGTGAGTAATTTGATAGTAGAAGGGGATTCCAAGGTAGTAGTGGGCTGGTTGACAAGTCCAGAGACAGCTTGTTGGGGCTACAGGGATCTGTTAAAGAAAGTTAAATGGCTGACAAGGAATATGTCAGTCAGGTTTCAGTGGGTCAGCAGATCAGCAGATCAGCAAATGCAATGACTGATTCTTTGGCCAAGCAAGGGGTGTCAAGGGGAGATCTGTTTTGGGCCACTTTGTAACTGTGTTTTAGGCTTGTGTTTGTTTAGTGTTTATGACTCAGTCCTAGGGGGAGGTAACACCTCGTGCCTCTTCCTAGGCTGAATGTACTACTATTTTTTGAATTAATAAAACTACTCTCATTTATCAAAAAAAAAGTCTTTTCCTTTTAGAACACCAGTTATGTTGCATCCATGCCTTGATATTATTATCCACAATGGCTGTTCTAATGATAAGAATGAAAGTTTCTAAACAATGTTATTTCTTTTAGTTTATTGTCCAATACTACATAACAATTTGTTATTATGGTGGAATTTTCACCAGATTTCTTATCAGTTGTTCCCTTGTATTTAAAGTAAATTTCTTTTTCAGGTCCAGGCACTGCACCAGCTCTATGAAATCCAGAAATCAGCAATGCAAGAATTAAGGAAGAGGATCTATTCCCAGGCACAATCATTGACATTTAGTTCTGAAACTGTCGCAATTAGGGAAGCTCAATTTCATGGTTCAACTGCAGAAGGAAAACCTTCTAGGATATCTTCTGTTTCTGCTCAATCGTATGAAGAAGCATCACATGTTCGGCCCATGCATCCTGTTACAGTGAAAGAATTTATAGGTTCTGGTTCAAAAACATCATTATGGATGAATAATACTGAAAATATATTTTCCAATACTGAGAACAAACCAAGGAGAGTAATTGACCTTGAAAGACCCCCAGAAGAGTATCTGGATGAGTCTGATCTTCAAGTTGAAGTAAATAATTCTGAAATAGTAAATGCTACCACCAGCTTGTCTGAAGGAACGTCAAAAACAGCCCAGGTTTCAGTAGTGGCAAACAACCCACTTGTTCTTCAAGTGAACTCTCCAATTTTGATATCTGGAGATCCAAAACTAGCTCTTGGAATGTTCTCAGAAACAAGATCAGAGAGTCGTCAAGCCTGTAATGAAGCTTTAGAGAGAAAAACTTATGGAGTCAATATTAATGAATGCACAACAGGCTTTCAGCCTCTAGAAAAATCTTCAGAGAACAACATAATTCATGATATTCCATGGAATCACCATATTGGAGTTGGGAATTCTGCTGTCACTGAGGACGCAAAGCTTTCACATAACCAATATGCTGAAAAACCTTTATCACTGCATCAGGTTATATCTTAATCTCATGGAATATAATTCATGAATGGATTTTTTTTGGCATAAATGGATGGAAATTATTTGACATGTTGAATTGATCTTTCTTATTCTTTTATTATGTAATCATAGTTGTTAAAATCTTATGATTTACAATACAATTCACAATATGAATCATGAATCCCAAGGTTTTTGATTTGAATGTTATGCCTGAATCCTTTCCCACAAAAATCTTATGATTATGAATCTTATAATTTGTATGGTTCATACAATTCAAATCAATTCAATCAAGATTTGGTTCTCTACTTTGTCATTTATTTGTTCCTTTTAATTTTTTTCAAGAGAATCTTGTTCTAAAGCTCTTTACTAGAAAATGATTATTTAGATTATTTAAGACCTTTTAGATTGCTTATTGAGTTTATTTTCCATTATATGTAGGTTAGGGAGTCATAGTGTCGATTGGTATATCATCTTAGGATTCTAGTGTACAAGACAGGTGGTAAAATCATTTTTTAAGTACATATATGGTAGATATGGCTAAAAAATAGGGTAAAATTACTTTTCTATAGATACTTAAATTTTTAGTATATCTATTCTTAATTTTTTGATTTTGTAAAAACAGAAATAATTTTATGATATGGTATGATTCAACCTTATCTACAATTTACAATACAACTATGATTTTCAGAACACGTTTGCTCTTAAGGCTCAGTTTGGAAAGAATACAGATACAAATATGTACAATGCAAATAGATACAAAATACAAGGTTTTGCACTCTACATATTTGTACTCTTTCCAAACTGAGCAGTGGACACTTGTTACGATTCATTTGTCCCATATTAGTAGTATGGGATGCTAATGTGAGGTATCCCACATCGGTAGTATGGGATGCTGTTGTGGGATATATATGTGCTTGGGTTCCCTCCCTCTAACAGCTAGCTTTTAGGGGTGAGTTCTCCTAAGGCACATATCAACACTGGCCCATTGTACATGTATTAATTAATATGGATATTCTAGAGACAAGGAACTGCATGGAAAGGTTCCTTTCCATAGAGTTATTCACATTTGAAGTAGCAACCGTGGACTATGTTACCTGGATACGGAAAGGAATGCGACTGGACAGATCCCTCATAGGGGGATTGTGATGTTGAAAATCATAATTAGGGGATGAAATGGTTGGAAGAAATGTAGGCCCATTGGATGCGGTTCTTGGCACATGTATACACCATTAATTTTATATTATTAATAAATATTTTCTTAATACTGATAAAAAATTATAGCATCGAACATGATACAGCACCCTTGTACAGGTATCCAGTTATCACAGATCATGGATTGTTATGTCCAAATTGGAATTTGCATCAAGTGGATGATCTTGACCATGAACATGCCAAAATTCCAACTTAATTGAAATAGTAGAAACCAGTTTATATATATATATATATATATATTGATAAGTAAATAGAAAAAAAATTATTAAAAGAAAAGAAGTTACAAATGAGGGTGATAAGTCAGCACCCGAGTACCAATCTCTGAATAGTTTATACATTACATTTAACATTCCCGTGTCTTTTGTCCCCCCACTTCCTAGGAGGATAAGTTTGAGTCTGCAAAGTATCTTTTCACCATCTTGTCCACTTAAATCCATGGACTGAACCCATAAACATTATTATTGGAAGAGTTAAGTTTTTGCTGCTTAAGCAATTTGCACCTTATGATTCTAACTACCTTTTTTTTTGATAAGTTATAATTCCAACTACCTTAATAATGGTTATTTCCTTTTTCCAAATATTCTGGATCATGATTCTGTAGACTTTATCAAAATGGTTCATCATCATCATCGTTGTCATCGTCAAAGCCTTGTCCCAGTTGGAGTCGGAAAACTCTATCTTAATGATTATTTAGTGAATTTTATCCAAACTAGAGCTACAAAGTCTCTTTGACGGAGCCTCCAAACGATGGGCTTCAATCCCTATATCTGTGATAGAATTATGGCAAGAGGCAAGACTGATATCTTCCTGCCCTACCATCTCAATATAGGCATTCCTCTTGTTTAACTTGTATGCTAGAACGCTGTCCTTATTGTAACTTATTAAGCAATCTCTTACTTGAAGCAAGCTGAAAGACATTTCTCTTTGGCACATGTCTCAGAGGTTAACTCCAGATCACAGTTCAGGGTCTGCCGAATGCGAAGAACAATACAAGGGAACATCTGAGCAAGCTAGTGGAAGTAATCCAGATTCAGTCCAGCAATATCAATTTCTAGAAAGTAACAGAGTGATCATAATGACCAATTTAAAATTGCATGAACAGCACAGAGGTTCAAATGATGAAGGTTCACTTTCAACAGATCCTGTCATTTCCCCTCAAGGATATCATACTCTTAAACCCATGCTGTGTGACTCAATTAAACTTGGCAATTGCATCCAAGGGAACTCTCCTTCAGGATTAAACTCAATTTCAAGAAAACAGAACTCATATTCTTCAGCTTTGAGCTCCCAGACAAATGAAGAGGGTGGGCATGAGAACCCAAACTACTCAGGTCATGGAAGTAGTAGCATAGAGTCCCAAGGTGAAGATTTTTGTAGAGAAATTGATCATAACATTTCCACAATCACGGGAAGCCCTATACATGGTTCTTATTGTGGTGAGCCAGTTCAAGTAAGCCAAGTTACTGCAGAGGGAATTCAATCAGAATTTGAAGGAGAACCTCATCTCATCAAAGATAGCTCTCTTTCTTCTTCTGTTCCAGATACTGAAATCAAGCAGAATAATCAAAGTGACTGTCCAAATAGAAGCTCTGAAGTTCCAGAAAGCCAGGAGGAACCTGCTGTCGTTAGAGAAAGCAATGAGCACCCCCATAATGAATCAAATGTGGAAGAAACACGTGAAAGCATTGCAGCAAAGATATTGCTTAGCTTTGCACCCTGCAAATCTTGGGCTGATACCAAATCTAAGGGTATTAACACCCTAATAGAAGAGTCAAGCAGATCAAGTGAAGATTGTATGAGCAGTGACAAGACACGGAATCTACATGAAAAAAGATGCATTAGCTACAGAAATGGAGGTGTTGTATATGAAACAACGAGATGGACAAAATCACCCCATGGAAGGAGGACCTTGAGAAGACCCCGATAACCACCCAATAGAGTCTGCTCGTCGTGTATAGTTCAGTCTTATTTTTAGTTTAACCTTCATTAGAAGGGTGTAAGGTAACAACCATATAGAGTGAAGAGTAGTCCATTCTCTCTACAATAACCACCATTTGATCATGAAGTCAGCCTTTTGTACAGGGAACTCCTTTATATTTGAAGTTTAATGGTGAGGAACACGTAGTGGAGGATTATGCTGAGACAACGGAATGTTGTCCAGATCTTGTTTCTACCTCTTCTACGAGGTCAGAAGACTTGGGACCAGATACCAAGCCAATGATGTAAATTCAGAGAATTCGTGATTATAAAAGCTGTTACTGTAGAGTATCTGCTGCAGAAGTTCGTTTCTTGTTGCTAATCCATGGTCTTACCCTGACAACAGTTATCCTGATATTTTTTGAAACCTTGCACTTCCCGCTGTTTTCTTGAGTTTTGCTTTGTATAGTTGTATCCTTGGCCACTCAAAGAGGAGCTAATTGATTAATGGTTAATATCATCTGATTATAATTAGTTCCATTTTGGCCTATAAATTGATTACTGGTTAATGCCAAAGACCCGGAAGTATATTAACCTGTATCTCTTGTGCCACTTAACCAATAAACAATTTTAAAATTTAAACAATACGCCATATGTAGTATTTTCATAAAATCAATTAAATATAGCCCTAACTTTTCTTCAGATTTGATAAGTTCGGCATAGAGGTAGAACTCAAAGGTTCGTTATCATCAAAATGATTCTTCAATCTTAATGGGATGAACCCAAAAGGCAATCTTGAAGTACGTCTCTAATCTGCTACTCCAATCTTCAAACAGTCAATATACAAAAAAGGGGAAGAACCCAAACGACTGCTCTTTAAACTTTCCTTTTTCTCTTCCTACAAATGAAAAGGCTATTTTGGTCTTACATATGGTTCTAACTTCTACTTACAGAGCACACCTTACAGCACTCCCTTGCAACCACTCAAAGAAACACGGAAACACCACCCTTTAATTAAGGAGATCTACTTTCTATGGAATCAACATAGGTGGAATATTCCATAGCAACAATATTCCACCTATCCCTTTTGCTTCTCTCTTGATCCCTTTTTTGGTCAAAAAGAGGAATTTCATTAAAACCACAGAAGCAGCATATAAACCAAATCCAAAACACACACAGTCACACATACACACCAACAGAAACAACACATCACCTAAGAAATCTACAGACAAAAACAATCAAAACCAACAAGCTAGCCAACAGTCTTCAAGTAAAGGACGAAACTGCTCAGGCAGATAAGAAAACCAGATTCCTTCCAATGCATGGCCATAGTTTGAGCTGCTCCATTTGTGATCCTTCGCACAAAATTGAACGAACATTTGTGGTGCTTTAATATGTGCATAATATCTTTGAGAATAAACTTATGTTCTTATCTTCTCTATCAAAATTCTGTATCCCTTTACTCAAGGCCAAAATAAGGGATTGATAGTCACTTAGAAAAGCAGTACACCCTCAGACAGTAGAGATGCAAGAATAGTGCCCCTTCTCTGAAAGCAATTGCTTCATCCAAAACTGGGGGGACAAGGCCACACATGGAGCGTAGTTTGCAGCACCAAAAAGGCCACATGAACTGCTGGTGGAGAGCGAAAAGTCAGATCATTCATTTCATCATTTCCCACCAAGGATGTTATTGACAGTCTGAGACAGGTTTCAAATCCTCCTCTCCCAAAATTTCCTGAAAGCAAGATCAATTATCTTAGAAGGGTCAGGAGTTCCACAAAAACCGACAGACAATAATAGCATGGTGAATTGTAAGACTCTTGCCATGCTTGTTTAGAGATATGCAATCCATTATGGGTCTCATCCAGTCAACAAAACTATTAGTATTATCCATCCTAATTCCGAAGTTACTTCCAAACCACACAAGTGTAATCACACCCACGAAGAATGAGATCAACAGACTCCAGCACCTGCAAGCAAGCATTACAAGAAGGGTCCAAGTGTCTTCTAAAGAGATTTTCTTTTGGGCAATACCATAATGGATAACCCTCCACAAGAAAAGCTTTTTTCTTGGGAGCTGTAGGAATGGACCACAATTGCTTCCACTGAAACTTAGACAATAAGACCTGATTATACTCTTCCTTACCTTTTAGAAGGTATGCATCTTCACAGAAACCTGCCTTTGGGATCCGGATTCCAGTAAGGAGAATCCTTCCAATCAAATCTGGCCAAACTAATTTGCAGAATGGAATCAACATAGCAAGGAAGATATAATTAAGGAGATCTATTTTCTATTGTCTACTGCTAGGATCAAAAGTCACCCATGACCTTAAAAGCTAGGTATTTGGGCCTGGGCCCCATTATTCTGAACCCACAAACTCTCAGTAACCAAATTCAGTGAAGGAGCTGCTGAACTGTTAGAGAATTGAGGGTCTCAGCAAGAAAGGAAATTTGGTTTGGAACACCATTCCGGCAGCTGTACTTTGGGCTATTTGGACTGAGAGAAATAACAATTTCCCATGGTAATTCTAAAAGTCCAGATGAAATAGTGCAGAAAGCTGTGGGCAAGTTATTGTCTTGGGTGTCAGCGACGGAGGATTTTAAAAATCAGAATTTGCGTTTGTTGTTTTGTTCTCAGTCTTGGATGAGATTGTAATCTGAGGTGGTCCTAGGCAGCCTTTAATGGCCTGGGCTCTATTGTAATGTCTCTTTGAATGAATAAATTACCTTACCTTTTACAACAAAAAAAAAAAAAAACTCTCAGTAACCAGGGGTCATCCCACCCTTTAACACATCTCTATTCACCTACCAGTCATCCCACCCTCTAACACATCTCTATTCACCTATTAGCACAGCCCTTTAACACTTCCATCCCCACGAACCAGATTTTCCAATATTATATGAAAGGAAACTACAAGAAGGGAAGTGTTTCACTTTAATTAGCTTGATTCACAAAGAATTGGGCTCAGTGTAGAGCCTCCACACAAGCTTGGTAACGAGAGCAATACTAAAATAATGAGGATCTCTAAAGCCAAGTCTATCTGACCCTTTTGTTTTTACTAATTGTTTGCCGATCCACCCAAGCTATTCTTCTCTCATTCTTGCTTGAGCCCCACCAAAATCTTCTCTAGGTGCATTTTAAAAGCCTGCAAATATTCTTGGGCAACAAGAACAGGACATGACATAATTTGGAATGGGTGTGACCACTGCTTCTAATAAAACCTCCTTTCCTGCTTGAGAGAGGAGTTCCTTCCAATTGTGTTTTATTCTCAACTATCTCAACAAGATTATTGATCAAAAAACTCTCTCAATGGAAGCATGTTACATGACATACGTATACCCATATGTGTTTGGGATTTTAGAAAGTGGAGTCATATCCCCCTTTTCTACATATGTTTCTGTACTTGAATCTGGGCACCGTAGTTGTGCCAGCAGCAATGATGGCTGGAAGAAGAGAAGTAACACTTTACGCATTGAAATGGGAGTTCAAACAATTGAATGCTTGAAAGTAATCACACCCTGATTTAACAATGACAAATGATGATTGATAGAGTTCTGAGGCAAGTAGTTGTGAGGTATAGTGAAGAATCACTTTGGGGTTAATACAAGAAATTAACCTGCAGGACATGAAATTAGGGACATTAGGGAAATGGCAAGGCTATTAGAGGTGATATACAACAGGTGGACTCCACATTCAGCCAACAGCATGGCAAATTCATTATCTAGACAAGGCATAGGAAGGAACTCCACGTTCAGCCAAAATCCATGCAACCTTCTGTGACTAGGATTTTTCTTTGAATTCTTTTTTTTTATCAGAAACAGGAATTATTTTTCATTAAATATTGTTAAATCATTTCATAGGAGGTTGGATCTTATCCAGTAACCCAATCATTTATAAAATCCATTACAACTCTGCCAAAAAAGATGTTCCCTGTGGACTCCTTGCTTTGATAGGACATCTGCCAACTTGTTTGCCGTTCTCCTCACCCATCTGATAACTAGCTTTGAGTCTCCTTCCACATCCACCTGTTTCATTCTAAGCTATTTGGCTAATTTCAACTCTTGTAAGAGAGATAGGAACTCAGATTTTAACAAGTCCCCATAACCAATCGGTCCTGATTACGTGGCTATCACCACACCTTCACCATTTCTAAAGACTCCCCCAATTCCTGAGGCCCCAGGTTACCCACAGAGCTCCATCAAAATTCAATTTGACATTGTTATATGAGGGGGACTTCCATTCCGCCACCACTATGTCTTTCACTATTGTGGACTTTGTCACTGTTCCCCATGGTTTTAGGATATCATCCATTGAAAAGGCTTTAAAAGCTTCCAGTGTACTTACCAAATGCACTACTTTCACCTTTATACTTTTTATTGTATCTTCTTTTGTGCTATGCTTTTCCTTGAAAATCCAACCCATTCCTTTCTTCTCATATGGCCCACAACAGAGCTGCTCTTGTTGCCCTCCACATTATTCTTCCTCTCTTTTTTGGTTGTCTCATGAAATCAGGGCTGAATAGACTGGCCACATCTGGAGGGGGTTCCCACCTGCAACCAAAGAGGGAGCAAAAATGCCTCCAAACACAAATCACAAAAGGACAGGAGAATAGTAAATGGGGGATAGTCTCACCATTTTCTTTGCAAAGCATACATGAGGTGAAAGGTACTTATTGGGCCTTCTTCTTTGGAGCACATCACAAGAGTTGATCTTACCATGAGAAACTTCCTAGTAGAAAGCCTTTATTTTAGGTGGGACTAGTGTACTCCAAATCTCTTTCACAGGGTGAATTAACCCCCCAACTCCTTGAGAGGTCAAGGCATTAAAGGAGGCACATGTAAAGTACCCATAGTGGGGCAGTCCAAATACGACTATCAGCTGAATGTGAGTCCAAACATACCGAGTTGAGTAGAGTTAACAAATCAGCCAAAGGGTCACATTCCCAACCCCTATTCCTTAAGACCCCTTCTGAAACCAATTCTGCTCTCTCACCATTTCAGGATTTTGGTTTGAATTCAAATTTTTTAACTAGCATGCTTTCAAAAAAAGAATTCCATTGGATTTCATGAACAATATATTCTCTAACATCATAAATATCAGAAGACTCTTGCAGGCTCATACCATTTCAACAATGGGACAGCTGTGAATTGTTTCATTTAAATTATCTTTTCTGGTAATAAAGAGAAAAAGCATTAAAATGCTGGGCTTCCTAAATGGGTTATCCTCCAAAACCATAGATAAATGCATGTGGAATGTGGAAATAAAGAGACCACTTTGATCAAAGCCCTGTATTTGCCAACATGAACAACTTCCAGTCTTTTTTTATCAATAACAGAATTTTTTTGATGAGTTATCAATAACAGAATTTCATTAGAAATATTTAATACTTACAAGATAGGGAGAGGTAAATTTTCTTAACCCTACAGACAAAAACTGTTACAATTGAGCCCATAACAACTGGTTCCTCCCCACCCCTTGTTTTGCTAAGACATCAGCAAGACCATTTTCTCCCCTTTTAGCCCACCAACTGAAACACACTTCCATATCTTGTGTCATCCACTTGAATCTCTTTTTTTCGTTATTGAAAGTCCAGAAACCCTTTTAACCCAACATGATCAGCTTCCATTCCTGCCTCGCCTTTCAGAAATCAAATCATTAAAATCAGTAAAAACTTGACCACCAAATCTTGCATGGGTTCAAAAATTATTCTAAGTTTTCACTTGATTCAAGAATCATAATTTTGAGGGTTCCTAAATCTGTAAACCATTTGTCACTCTAAGGATCAATGCTTTAAAAGCACAAGGTGCAAGAAAAACACAATGACCATTTTTTTTATTCAAAAAAATTGAAAAAAAAAATGCAAAAAAAAGTAAAAAAAAAACTCAAAAATAAATTAAGAAAATGTTAAAAATATTATTAATTAACTTTAATTTTAAACTAAATGTTTTAAAAATCCTATCAACTCAATTAAAATACACAAACATAATATATAAAACATATTCAAAGTGAAAATGCAAAAATAAAATAAAAAATAGCATACAGAACATATTCAAGCATCTCTAGCTTTTAATTTCTTTATTTCTTTCCCAATTGCATTATTTCAAATAGATAGTCAAGCATCTTTCGTTCCTGATTCTATGAGTTGCCCTTGTACCAAGCCCCTCGAAGCAAGCCCAAACAACTCCATGTTAAGGTCTTAAATTCTTAATCCCTACAAAAAAAAATGATTTTATAATTCTATAAATGAATAAACAACATTAGCAAATAGGAATTAAGAATATAAGACCTTAACATTGACTTGTTTGGGCTTGCCTCAAGGGGCTTGGTCGTCTGCCCCTAGCCCGACCACTAGGCTTAAAAAATAGAAAAAAAAAAAGCACAAATTTTGAAAAGGTGCACACCTGGGCTGAAGCGCAAGGTGCACCAGGCACATGCCTTTTGAAAGTGTTGCACCTGGGGCCTAAATGAGGCGCATACCTTAAAATGTGCCTCGCCTAAGCACCAAGGCGTGTCTTTTAAATCACTGCTATGGATCCCATTGTCACTCTGCTTTGCTGTATCTTTTATTGATAAAATATGTTGAACTTGATTGAGAAATAAGAGAATTGGTTCATGTTAAAAGAAAATGAAGTGATGTTTTCTCCAGTGGGTAAGTGGGTTAGGATAGAAGACTTGGCAGGCCTGCTGTCCTCATGGTCATCTCAGGAACTTATTAGTAGGGACAAGATCCTTTGGAGAATGATCTCTCTGACTTTGTGCTTGTCCATTTGGCTGGAACATTGAAATAATCTTTGAAGGGTTTGTAGTATCATTGGAAGTAGATCATCCAGGAAAATGGTTTTGTAGAAAGGGATATACTTTCAATAAAAGCTAAAAAATGATACACCAGTAAAACTAAGTCAATGGATCTCAAGTAACTACTTTTTATAGGGAAGTTCTCCCTCCTTTGAAAATAAATTATTTACTTATCAAAAATGTAAATAAATAACCAGATTCTAGAATAAGTATGGGTTTCGTGGAATAACATCTCAGAAAATTGTTTGCTTTCCCTGAGTTTTCTGTTTTTGGGGAGCTAAGTTATTTTATCTCCCTTGTATTCCTTTCCCTCTATTCTCTTAATTTAATGAAATTGATGTTAAATTGTTTATGTAGCAAAACACTAGCTAAATCCTCTCCTTCGTTCCCTGCAAAGTTATTCAGCAATTGCAAGGAGGTTTTCTTGTGTGAACAGCAGCCTTCAACTATTTTTTAATAATAGGATATCTAATTGGTAGGAAGGTGTTTATAACCAAATGTACATCCAAGCAGCTGGTAGTTGCAAAATAGAAATTTAGGATTTCATAATCTATGCCCAATAATTAGATGAATTTTTTACATGGTCACATCCCTTCCAACACCCTTCTGGAACAAAAATAAGTCATAGAAGGTCCAATAAATCTTTCTGAATTTTGTCGTAGATTGGGCACTGGCAGGCATATATCAGGGAAACTAGAATTGTCAGTCTGGCAGCCTGCTGCATTGGTATGACCGTATGAGATGAAAAACTCTACCGATGCGCACGCGCACGAGAGAGAGAGAGAGAGAGAGAGAGAGCTCTTTCAGCGAAAAATAGGTTCAAACTCATTAGCAGAAGCCACTAACATTAGAATATCAAATTTTACAATAAGATGGTATGGAGTTGAATTTTGCATTTACACTCCGGAAGCTCTTGGCCCTGAAAGAAGGAATACTCCTCTTTTTCCAGCAGTGCTCTTGAATGCAAGGCAAGAGAAGAAGTGAACCATATATTGTAGAGAAACCCTATGCACTAGAGAGCAACTAAGGACTCGTTTGGCATTGTTCCCCGAGAGTGTTCTTCGTGTTCCCGACGTTTCCGCAGAATGGGAACATGTCTGGCATGACATTTTCGATGGTTTCATGTTCTTTTGGAGTGGGAATGGCATGTTCCTAGCTCCTTTTTTTGGAGTGACCAGGACGGCACTCCACAGGAACGAGAAACTAGAGCACGCTATTCCCACGATGTCATTGTATAGGTTACCCACGTGTTGAGTGGGGTTACAATCGTAATTTCGTAACTTTTTAGCCATAAGGGAGCCCTAGTCAAGCTTAGTGGGGTTCTTCTTCCTACCGCCGAGGCACTCTCAAGCCTTTGAAGAGCTTCAACCGGGCTGCAATCGTTCGATCGGTCGCATTTTTCAACCGGTTTTCTTGCAAATGGAAGACATCATTTCTGTGTGGTCCTTTTTTATTACTTTTATGAGGGCTTGTTAAGTATGGATTTGAAAAACTAATCTTAAGATTAACAGCGTATCCAAAAACCAGAAATTCCATTTCTGTTCTGGAACAGAAATTTCTCAAGAACAGGAATAGGCAGGAACAATGCCAAATGGGGCCTAAGATGCCAACTTATTGCACCCTTGGAAAGAATGATAAATGGAGGAACAATAAGACCAAAGGAAAATAAGCTCTCATCAATTGTATATTTGACAGCACCTGGTCTAAGGAACCTCCACCTTGACGTTGTTTACAAGAGAAGGAAATTTACAACTGCAAATATGATAGTTTTAAGGCATGGGAAAGTTAAATTTAACCTAATTGGACTAACATTAGTTTCAATCATCAAGAGAAAATGAATGCAACCCATGGACAAGGATGTACATTAGCGGATTCCATGTGTCAAGGTTACATTAAGAATTGTCTAACAGGAATAGATGAGCATCAATATAGATTAAGACAGTAGAAGTCACTTGAAGCCTTGCTAAGCTTATGAATAAGGTCAAAGAAAGAGAAGATCAGCTAGGATATTGCACACACTTGTGGAGTAGGGTCAAAGAAGCTTGTGGAACAAAGAAAAGGGCTGAGACATCATTCCCTGGGGTGGTTCTCTTCTTATATTTGAACGGTCTCTTTTCTTGTATGGAGTATCCGTTCATACTGTCTGCTCTCTGCTGTTTCTTTTCGCATTTTTTTTTCTTTTTTAGATTTTATGTTTGTGTGTTTTGTGGGCGTGATTATGGAATGGAAAGCTTAATTTATTAGAAAATTTTTGTTCAAACTGCTCCCAGCTAGATAAATTATATGGCAAAGTTCTGTCTAGGATATCAAAAATCAATTCTTGGTTTCATACCTGTAAAAGTAAGACTGCAAAAATTTTTTTTTCATTCAAGAATTTACAGTAGAAAAGATTCAGTAAATGTTGAATTCCATCCATGAAAACCCAATAAATAAGATACAAATTATCATTCGATCAAATCCAATATTGTATACAAAAGATGTTGTCAACATTATACCTATTAGACTGCAAATTACAAGAGAGCCAAATAAGATAAAAGAAAAGATCACCACACAAAGAAGGCATCGCATCACCACCCTTTGGAACCTACGATCAGTTTCTTCCTAGCGGGAGAGATCTGCAAGTATAAGTCTCTTTGAAATCTGATTTCCTCGACGAAGTGAAAATAGATGCATACACTTCCTTGGTAGCATTAGGTGGCGCAATATCAGTTGCTTTGAACTTTTTAACTGAACCATTAGTCGCTCCCTTTGCAGTAACACCTGCATTCACAATTTTCCCATTTCCTTCAAGTTTTACTGAAGCCTTCTCCACATTCCTGTCATCAATAGCATGCTTTGTACCGCTCAACCGCGAAGAATCCAGGCAACCTCCTTCCGACCCATTAACACCCAATTCACCATTCTTCGCCTTCTTCTCTTTCTTCTCTCTCAACTTCGCCTTCTCCTCTTCCATCCTTTCTCTCAATGCTGTCACTTCCTCTGCAGTCCCATTGATCACAATCTTATCCGACTCGGAGAACTCCCGATGGCAAACAAGACAAGTCGACGACTTGACTTCTTTCAAAGCCTTGGCGCTCAATACATGCCCGCAGCTGCGCAGTGCAAAGAACTTATACTTTCCATTAAACTCGAGGCCCGTAATTGGGCACTGAAACCTCGTCATGAAGCTGATACCATCGTCATACTTCACTCCCGGAATCGGAGAAAGTTCAATTGGGATCATATCCTTTAGCCCTTTAATATGCCCAAACTCCTTCGGCAATTTCCTCTCTAGCAAAGTCTCGACAAGCGGCTGCTTATTGAAAACATTCCCAAGTCGATCGACGACGCAAGGATGCTTGAGAGGCTCAAACGAAAGAGCGCAAGTCGTCCACCGCGATAACCTGGTCTCGTTGGGGTCGACCTTATCGGGCTTCTTCGAGGCGTACATCTTGAGATAGCAGTCGCGAGATTCTGCACCGGTTGCGCCGCCATCTCCTCCGCCGCCGCGAAGCCTGGTTCGGAGAGTTAGGGTGGAGAAAGGGAGGATTTTGGAATCGAGGAGGGTGGAGGAGTCAAGGAGGGGCTTGCCCGAGAAGGAAAAGAATAGGGAATCTAGAGTTTCCCGGGGCGCGGTTGGAGAGATGAAGGAAAGCTTGAGATGGTGGAAGGTCTGATTAGGGTTTACGGTTAGGGCATGGCATGGGATTTGGAACTCTGGAGATTGAACGAATACCTGGAATTCGCTCTGGGGTTCCATGGTTTTCACTTTTCGAACGATGAGGGGACTTTTCTGAATTCTGGTGTTGGATTGGATTCTGATCCTAGAAAGAACTCCTCCTCCCTATTTATGCGTTTTCCTGGAGTCCGAAGTTCGTCTTGGATCTGAACTCGGAAGTCGGAACCGAGAAAATACGTGTAGATTTGCCACAGGTATCAGGTCGGTAATTTCTTATCGTTTAAGGTCCGTTTGGTTGCTTGGGTTTGGGATACCAATTGACCTGTTCACGGGCCAGGCCGGGTTCGGGCCGGGCTTTGCTTTTACATTAACAGAAAATATTCAAGCCCGAGCCCGGCCCGACTATAAAGCCCGAAGCTCGGGCCCAAGCCCGAGACCACTAAAAATTTGGAAAAGAAAAAAGATTTTTCCTTTTTAATTCAATTAAAAGTTGTTTTATTTATACTAAAAGACCTCAAAACCTAAAAAAATAATGAAAAGTCTCATTATTACTTGAAAAAAGAGAAGAAAAATATATTATATATCTTTTTTATTATATAAAATATATTTTTATTAATATAATACATTATCAAGTCGGGCTTGGGCTCGGGTTGGGCTTTTTTGAGAAAGCCTGAGCCTGGCCCGAAAAAAGTCAGGCTTGATATTTTAGGCCTGAGCCCGAGCCTACGGACCTAAAATCTTGTCCAAGCCCAACTTAGATCGGGTTGGCCCATCGAGCTATCCGATCCATGAACAGGTCTAGATACCAACAGATCTTCTTTAGTGCAGTCTAAACCCGATGTGCCCTAACTAAATGAAGAGGATATATGGAGCAAGGCTTAACCCGTCCCTTACGCCATGTTTGGTTCATTGTTTTGGGCCTCATTCTTTTAATTCTTGCTCATTATGGGTAGGAAAATTGTCTAAAACTCATCATGACTTTTCAACATTTCTCTTAAACTCACCTTAACTTTTCAAAATGTCTAAAACTCACAATGTTAGTGAGTTTTTATTTTTCAAAACTCACTTTCCGTTAGAGCTACATCAATATTCACTAACAGAAGTTGTCCATGTCAGCATAAATATAATTATCATGACCAAACTGCCCTTGATTGGCGAATTAGAGAAAAAGGCTCATTTAGGGTTAGATTTGTTCTCCTAAAATTCTCTCTCTCACTCTCTCTCTCTCTCTCTCTCTCTCTCTCTCTCTCTCTCCCTAGTCTCCAGATGTCGCACCGACCATCTCGCTCAGATCTTCAAGACTATGAATACCATTTGTCCTAATACTATGATAACATGAACAAGGGGAATGACAACTTTGTTCCAAACGAATGCTAGAAATAACGTCACAATCCCTAGACAAATTATGTAGAAAGATGTAAAATTACCAGATAGGTGGCTAATAGCCAATGCCGAGCCTCCCAGACCCGTTGAATCCACTAAATTAGCTTTGACATTCAGTGAGCAAGACGGATCTATAGAGTTATGGTTTAGAAGAGCCTCAGCTTCATCAAGACCTTCATATATAGGATCGTTAGAAGTGAGATCTTCTTATTCTAGAAGGTTGGTGGATCTAATAGAATCACCTCGCCCCCCCCCCCCCTCCAGGTATAATATATGCCACATATGAAACACCAATAGTTGATGCATCATCATCGGCTTATCACACAACCCATAATCAAGTCTCCTCTATAAAGTCAACAAAGGCTGACTTTGAAATTAATCTTTTAAAAGTTGAGGAAAAATTCCAAATAGATATAGACCTTAGTAGGCTAAACTTTAATTCCCAACCAATAAGAAAGAAATGGTTCTTTGAAAATTTCTCTAAATTTGAGAGAGATCGTACTAGAGAACTTTGGTGCGTAGACATGATAGAAGTTAAGGAAAATATTCCTTTTTAGAATCAGTTTATACAACAAAAAGAATTTAAAAATATAAAACCCCCAGAAGAAGAATTAGAGTTATGTGTAACAAATAAACTTTCAAAAGTATGGAAAACTGCTTCTACAGGTAAAATTGTAGAATTGATACATCCTCCTTTTGAAGCAATAAAAATAGGGAAAGAAGAGCTAATAGCCTGTCAATAAAAATTTCTTCTATAATCAAAGAAGCTGAAAAGGTGATACCAAAACACTATTCCTAAAAGTACAACAAAATAATTATACAAATATATACCTGAATGTCTTAGGCAAACAAACAAATCGAATTGAAACTCTATTGAGCTCCTTAGAAGTCTCGAATCAAAGAACAACAATAATTAAAAAGGAAAAGCCTATGCGAATGGTGTGAGAATTTCCTCGAGATATGAGGATCAAATGGGCGATGTTAGACTTGTCCAAAATGAGCTACAAAGACAGCAAATAAAATGATTTTGTTCCAGAACACCAAATGGGAAAAAGGATAATCTTTAAAAACATCTTCTAAAAACGTGAAGGAAGAAGAAGAAAAATCTAACACTCATTCTATAGATTTATTAAGCAAAGAATCAGAGATATAGAAACAAAACAAGATACACCATCAATGGAGCTAAATAAGCTTTCATATAAAAGTAAAAAGCCTTATTACCCCAGGCATACCCTAGTAGACTTACTCTTTGAGGAACCTACAAGACCTCATGTAAGTTATGATGGAAATACATTTTATGAGTGAAATTTAGATAGGAAAATTGAGTACCAAATTCATGAAATAATCCATCTCATGACAATATATGTCAGTGCTAGCAAGTTGGTTGGAAATGAAGAAAAAATAATTGCCACTATAATGACTGAATGCTTTATAGGGAAACTTAAAGGATGGCGGAACAATTACCTTTCCCAAGCCGAAAGAGATTATATTGTAAATTTGGTAAAAAGAGATGAAGATGGAGAAACAATCTTAAGTCAAGGCCAACCAATTCAAATAAAGTCACCACTATAGTATTAAGTATACTAAATCATTTTATAGGGAATTCTGATGATATGTCATAAAGGATAAGTGAACAGCTTATAAATCTTAAGTGTAAAACATGATCTGATTTTAGATGGTATAAGGATGTTTTTCTGTCCAAAGTACATAGACTAACTAATTCAAGTGAGACCTATTGGAAAGAACAATTTATTTCAGGCCTTCCTCTATCATTCACCGAAAAGGTCAAGAACCACCTCAGAAGTCTAGGTGGAGGGAGAATCCAATATGCCCATTATATGCTCCAGTATTTACTCCAGATAGCAAACCACATAGGATTGGACTTATGCAATGACTTACGCCTAAAAAGGTAGATCAAAAGAGAAAAGACTAACTCCAAAAAATAATTAGGAGGTTTTTGCTACCAGTTTGGGGTAGGTCCTGAACCCACCAGAACTAAACCAACACATACAAGGAGAAAATCCAAATTTCACAAAAAAAAACCTGAGAGGAAAGAAAGAAAATCGAAATCCTCTAATTTAGGGTTAGATTTATTCTACCCCTAACTAGTGAAGTAGAGAAAAAGGCTCATTTAGGGTCAGATTTTTTCTCCTGAATCTCTCTCTCTCTCTCCCTCCGCTTGGGTCTCCAGATGTTGCACCAACCATCTCACTCAGATTTTCCAACCGCTCGGGTCTTTAGATGCTGCACCGGTCATCTCTCTCTCTCTCTTCGTTCAGGTCTCCAGATGCTGCACTGACCCATCTCGCTCAAATCTTCTGGTCATTCATAGTCTCTCTCTCTCTCTCTATCTCTCTCTTTTCACTCAAATCTCCAAGGAAGATGTTGCACCACACTCTCCTGCTTAGATCTATAGTAGATGGGTTTCGCACCGCCCTCTCTTTGCTCAGGTCTTCAAGATGCCACACCACCCTCCCTCGCTCAGATCTATAGTAGGTGGGCATCACACCACCCTCTCTTCACTTAGATCTCCTAGACGTCACACCACCCTCTCTTGCTTAGATATATAGTATGTGGGCACCACACCACCACGACCCTCTCTTTCTCTATCGCTTAGATCTAATGTTTGAAAGTTATTGCCGCACCACCACTATCCCTCTCTCACTCGCTCATATTTCTAGTTTGAAGATGTGAAGGAACGAATACAATGATAAAAAATTCAAGAGATTTCTAGTGTTTTAAAATATGTGCAATATATTATAAACTTTTGCAACTTGAATTTCGAAGTAAATCTCCATCGAGGGCTTTACAAATTTATGTACAAATATTTTTGTAAATTTTTATCTGATTGTTTGAAATATTTTTTGAAAATTTATTGCAATATACCTTGGATGCAATGTCTAATTTTTGTTTGATTATGCTGAAAATTTTTATAATTTTATTATTTTGTCTACAATTTTTTATTTTTTCTAATATATATTTTAAAATGAGCATTTCTTTTTTTTCTGAAATTTCTGCTTTTTTAGTTGATATATATATATATATCAATTTTTAAATTTTTATCACTTTATGTATTTTTGTAATTGATTTTTTTGAAAAATTTATCATTTTCTTTTTTTTTTTGCATTTTTAGTGTTTTTTTTATAATTTCCAATGTTTTTTATAATTTCTTTTTTTTTTACATTTTTCTATTTTCTACAATTTATAAATTTACTTGTATTTTTTAGTTATTTATTTGCAATTTATGTGTTTTTCTATAATTTTTTGTGTTTTTTCTACAATTTTTATTTTTTGATTTTTGTTTTTAAATTTCTACAGTTTCTATAATTTAAAAATAATTTTTTATTTTGTTTGCAATTTCTATAATTTTTTTTATATTTTTTTGTGTTTTTATGTATTTTATATTTGAAAACTTTTTTTTTGAACTTTTTCCTTTTTTCATGTCTTTTTAGTAAAAATATTAAAATTTATGTATATGTTTTATATTTTTCTATGAAGGGTAAAATGGTAATATATTAACACCTGTTAGTTTATTTAACGTCAAGTTAGTGACACAATGAGTTTTAGACATTTTAAAAAGTTATGGTGAGTTTTAGACAATTTCCCTTTTAGGTAAGAATGAGCAAGAATGAATAGCATTAGAGTGTTTGGTTACAAAATTCTTGCCACGGGCCACATTCTTTTTAGAAAGAAAAATCAGCCCATAGCACAAAAATTGAAGTAGCTTGTTGTCACGGGGATAATCATTGGGCCCCGTGCGGCACTCGAAAGGGGCGAGTAAGCCTACGCAACAAAGCAAACACATACAAAAAGGCAACAAGATGACACACGAATTAACAAAAGGCCACTTGTATTGCAATAATCAGT